GCCCCTCGATCGATCGATCCCGAGCCTCGGAACGGGACCGGGAGGGACCCTCCGGGCTCACCTGGGGGCTCACAAACACCTGGCACTAATTGCGCGGAGTTAATGAGCAATTAACGGCGCTGCGAGAGCGCCGGGACATCCCCGAGCCCTCGCCGGGCCCGGGCGGGGTCCCTGGAAACGGCGGCACCGGGAGCCGCGGTACGGCCCGCACCGGGGCGGCGGGAACGGCCCCGGCCCCGCGGGCAGCGAGGGAGGCCGCGCTGAGGGGGCTGCGGCCCGGCCCGGGGGGAAAGGGCAGGATGGGACCCGACCCGGGCAGGATGCGACCCAGGGAGGGCAGGATGGGACCCAGGGAGGGCAGGATTGGACCCAAAACCGGGCAGGATGGGACCCCGGGGTGGGCAGGATGGGACCCCACCCGGGCAGGATGGGACCCAAAACCGGGCAGGATGGGACCCAAAACCGGGCAGGATGGGACCCAAAACCGGGCAGGATGGGACCCGACCCGGGCAGGATGCGACCCAGGGAGGGCAGGATGGGACCCAGGGAGGGCAGGATGGGACCCAGGGAGGGCAGGATGGGACCCGACCCGGGCAGGATTGGACCCAAAGGAGATCAGGATTAGACCCCAGGGTGAGCAGGATTGCTCCCAAATCGGGCAGGATTGGACCCAAAACCGGGCAGGATGGGACCCAAAGGAGAGCAGGATTGGCCCCAGGGTGAGCAGGATTGATCCCCGGGGTGAACAGGATTGGTCCCAAACCAGGCAGGATTGGACCCGACCCGGGGCAGGATTGGACCCAAAACCGGGCAGGATTGGACCCGACCCCCGGGCAGGATTGGACCCGACCCGGGGCAGGATTGGACCCAAAACCGGGCAGGATTGGACCCAAACGGGAAAACTGGGGGGTTTGGGGGGATTTTAAGGGATTTTGAGGGATTTTGGGGGTTCCCCCCTCCGGGCCTGGTTTCCCAGCCCCTGTCCCCACTTTCTCTCCCTTCCAGGACATGAAACCCGGCGTTAAACCCGGCATTAAACCCGAGCCCAGCTCGGGAGGAAATCCAAAGCTGCGCAATCCCAGAGCCGCGGCCGGGCCGGGTCAGAGGTTCGGGCGCTCACGCAGGGGATCGGCTCAGGATTCATTAAGTTCATTAACTCCCTTTTAATTGCAGCCCTTGCTGGGGACGCCGCGTTTCCTGAGGGGATGCGGGGTTTGGGGTGTTGCGGGGTTTGGGGGCTGTGGGTTTGGGGGTGCTGAGCTTTTCCCTGACCCAGCCCCAATGTCCTTGGCGCTGACAATTCCCAGCGCCCGGAGCTTTCCCGAATAACGCGGCCGGTTCCAGATGGCGGAGTAAACCCGGTTTGGGGCCGGTAGACACCGGGGAGAAGCCCCGGCTAGCGGCGGGGACCCCGGGCCGGCAGAACGGGACGGTCCCGTTCCCCCTGCGGGCACGGCACGGCCCAGCCCGGCACGGGGGGCTCAGCTCGGGGCTGCACCGGGTCAGGGTCAGTCCCTGTGGGGTCCGGGATAATCCCCAAACCCAAAGCGGGGCAGCACCGGGTCAGGGTCACTCCCTGTGGGTTCCGGGACAATCTCCGAGCCCCCCGCGATCCCCAAACCCAAACCGGGGCCGCACCGGGTCAGTCCGTGCTGGGATCTGGGCCAATCCCCGAACCCCCAACCGGGGCTGTACTGGGTCAGGGTCAGTCCGTGCTGGGATCCGGGAAAATCCCGATCCCCCCGCGATCCCCAAACCCAAACCGGGGCCGCACCGGGTCAGTCCCTGTGGGCTCCGGGACAATCCCCGAACCCCCAACCGGGGCCACACCGGGTCAGGGTCAGTCCCTGTGGGTTCCGGGACAATCCAAACCCCCCGCGATCCCCAAACCCAAACCGGGGCAGCACAGGGTCAGGGTCACTCCCTGCTGGATCCGGGACAATCCCGCTGATCCCCATCCCCAAACCGGGGCAGCACAGGGTCAGGGTCAGCCCCTGTGGGTTCCGGGACAATCCAAACCCCCCGCGATCCCCAAACCCAAACCGGGGCAGCACCGGGTCAGGGTCAGCCCCTGTGGGTTCCGGGACAATCCCGAACCCCCCGCGATCCCCGACCCCAGCCCGGGGCTGGCGGGGGTCCCGGTGCCCCCGGGGGTGTTTCGGTGCCCCCGGGGGTGTTTCTGTCTGGGCGGAAGGCAGGCTGGCTGTACAGCGCATTAATGAATTAAGCCGCGCCGGGGGCCGTGCGGACGGAGCTCAGAACGCGAGCAGCCCTAACTCGATTTCCCTGACTTGCAAATCGCGGCGGGCGGCTCGGCCGAAATCGCATTAGGGCCGTTCCCACTGCGAGCCGCGTCCGCGCTGGGCTTTAATGCAGTTTCGCTAATTGAATTGAAACGCTCATTGAGCATAATTCGGGTTTGTGCCGGGCGCGGGGCTGGGCTGGGACCCCCGGGAAGGGCTGGGACCCCCGGGATGGGCTGGGTTGGGATCAATGGGCAGGGCTGGGACCCCCCGGGCTGGGTTGAGACCCCCAGGATGGGCAGGGACCCCCAGATTGGGCTGGGTTGAGACCCCCAGATTGGGTTGGGACCCCCAGGATGGGCTGGGACCTCCAGATTGGGCTGGGCTGGGACCCCCGAGAAGGGCTGGGACCCCCAGATTGGGCTGGGTTGGGATCCTTGGGAAGGGCCGGGACCCCCAGGAAGGGCTGGGACCACCGGGAAGGGCTGGGCTGGGACCCCCAGGGTGGGACCCCCCGGACTGGGCTGGGCTGGCACCCCTGGGAAGGGCTGGGACCCCCAGGTTGAGTTGGCACCCCCAGGATGGGCTGGAACCCCCAGATTTGGCCGGGCTGGGACCCCCGGGAAAGGCTGGATTGGGACCCCCAGATTGGGCTGGGACCCCCAGATTGCGCTGGGACCCCCCTGGGCTGGGTTGGGACCCCCAGATTGGTCCGAGACCCCCTGGGCTGATCTGGGACCCCCAGGCTGGGCTGGGACCCCCGGGAATGCCAGGACCCCCGAAGGATGGGGTGGGTGGGAGTGGGCTCAGCGCCAGCCCCACACCGGATTTGGGGTGGAGCCCCCCCCATTCCTGGCACCCCCCGGAACCCCCCCGGGTCCCCCCGGGCCCGGCGCGTTGGTGCCGCGGTTCGGGAGCGGCGGGGGGAGGAGAAGAGGCCGCGCTTTGTTCCCGTCCGTGCCCAGCCCGGGGGGCACAAGGGGCCCTTCAGGGGCGCCCGCGCTGCCCGCCGGGAAATGCCCCCCAAAAACGGCACCGGGGGCTGGGGGGGCTCGGGGAGGGGCCCGGGGGGGGCGGTTCTGCTGCCATCCCAAATAACGGGGCTCCAGCTCAATTTTGGGGTGCGGTTCTGCTGCCACCCCCAACAACGGGGTTCCGGCTCAATTTGGGGTGCAATCACACAGCCATCCCCAGTAACGGGGTTCCAGCTCAATTTTGGGGTGCGGTTCTGCTGCCATCCCCAAATAACGGGGTTCAGGCCCAATTTTGGGGTGCAATCCCACAGCCATCCCCAAATAACGGGGTTCCAGCCCAATCTTGGGGTGCAATCCCACAGCCACCCCCAGTAACGGGGTTCCAGCTCAATTTGGGGTGCAATCCCACAGCCATCCTAAATAACGGGGTCGCAGCGCTGGTTTGGGGTGCGGTTCTGCTGCTATCCCCCAATAACGGGGTTCCAGCTCAATTTTGGGGTGCAATCCCACAGCCACCCCCAGTAACGAGCTCCCAGCTCAATTTCGGGGTGCGGTTCTGCTGCCATGCCCCGGTCATGGGGTTCCTGCGCGGGATTTTTTCCCTTTTCCCCCCGTTTTTCGGAACTGCCGGAGCCAAAGGGAGAGCGTTGCTTCCCTCTAGGGGACAGGAGGGGACGCGGCCGAGAATGTCCCGGTGTCCGTGGCCCAGGAAGGACGAGGAGCTGCTGGAGAGGGCACGGAAATGATTTTGGGGTCTGGAGGAGTTCGGGTGAGGAGAGAGAGGGAGCTGCGCCCGGTGAGACCGGAGGAGGGAAGGCTGAGAGTGGGAATATCCCAAATTTCTATGGAAATATCTGAAATACCCGTGGGAATCTGTCGCTGGAGAGGGGATCCCGTCAGTGCATGGAAATAACCTCGAATATCCACGGAAATAGCTCGGATATCCATGGAAATCTGTCACTGGAGAGATTGCCACCAACGCATGGAAATAGCTCCGATATCCGTGGAAATCTCTCATTTTGGAGAAAGGATCCCACCAATACACAGAAATCTCTCATTTTGGAGAAGGAATCCCACCAATACATGGAAATATCTCAGATATCGGTGTAATCTCTTATTTTGGAGAAGGGATCCCACCAATACATGGAAATATCTCAGATATCGGTGTAATCTCTCATTTTGGAGAAGGAATCCCACCAATACATGGAAATAACTCAGATATTGGTGTAATCCCTCATTTTGGAGAAGGAATCCCACCAATACATGGAAATATTTCCAGGAGGTGTCAGGCCCTGCTCAGCGGTGCCAGGACGAGGAGCAATGGCCAGAAATCAACCACAAGTCCCACACCTGGGCAGGAGGCAGAGCTGTCCATGGATGGTGGCCGGGACAGGTGGCCAGGAAGGGTCTGAGGTGTCCCCTGGACGTTCCAACCCCACCCGTGTCACCTGCTGCAGGTGACGCTGCCTGGGCAGGTGACCCTGTCTGTGTGACCTTCAGAGGTCCCAGCCTGTCCTGGCATTCTGGGAGTGGGCAGCGCTGCCCTTAGAACGGTGCCCGTGTCCCCCACGTGTCCCGTGTCCCCCTAATGTCCCTTGTCCCCGCAGGCCCCCCAAGTGCCTTCCCCCGCCGGGACTACATCTCCCAAGAGCCCTTGCGCGCAACGCGCCCCCCAGCCAATAGCGCGCGGCCTTGCTCAGCCAGCGGGGCGCCGCGGGGCACACCGGGATCCATAGGCGGGCCGGCAGCGGGCACGGCGGCTGGGAACTACATATCCCAGAGAGCCCCGGGCGGCGCGGGCCAATGAGGAGCGCGCGTCTTGGAGCGGCGCGCAGGCGCGCTGGAGGGGGCGGCCGCGGATTCATGTGGAGGTCAGCGGCGCGGCGGGAGCGGTGGCGGGAGGGAGGGCGGCGGTGGGTCCGGGAACCGGGACAACCGAGGGAAACCGGGAGAGCCGAGCCGAGCTGCGGCCCGAGCGGGGCGGGCAGGGTGGGCACAGCGAGGCCTTGGCCGCTGGGGTGCCCGTGCTGGGGGCGAGCGGCCTAGGAGGGAGCGGGGAGGGGAGGCCTGGGGAGCGTGCGGGGCCGGGGTGGGCGGGAGCCCCGGGGGCTGTGGGGGCACGGGAGAGCGGGGGAAGGCCCTGGAGGGGTCCGAGCCCGGGGAGGGTCACGGGAGGGAGACCCCCGGGGCTGGGGAGGCCCCGGTGTGGTTCGGGGCTCTGGGCGGGGGTCGCTGCCCGGTGCGGTTTTGTGGCCTGGGGCTCTGGGCAGGGGTCGCAGCCTTTCCGGCGAGGTTTGAGCGTTCTCTGGGTTTGCAGGAGGGCTCCGGAGCGGGGGCTGCAGCGCTGAGATGGCTGCCAAGGTGTTCGAGAGCATCGGGAAGCTCGGCCTGGGCTTGGCCGTGGCGGGGGGAGTCGTCAACTCCGCTCTTTACAACGGTGAGAGGGACAGCCCTGATCTCTTAATTTCGTGTTTGTGTCCAAACCCTGACCTCTCGGTGCTTTTACTGCCCAGTACAAACAGACTGGGAGGTTCTCCGTCCAAAAGTCACGGAGCTGCTTGTGAGGAGCAGACCGGGGGGCGCCTGCAGTTTGTTGTCCAAACCGTGTTGTTAATTAAGCTGTGCTGTTAATGAAGTCCCCAGCCCCCGTGGCAGCAGCACAGCAGCCCTGAGCGCTGTTTCTTTGCCCCCACAGTGGACGCAGGGCACAGAGCTGTGATCTTCGACCGCTTCCGGGGGGTGCAGGATGTGGTGGTGGGCGAGGGCACCCATTTCCTGATCCCCTGGGTGCAGAAACCCATCATCTTCGACTGCCGCTCGCGGCCCCGCAACGTGCCCGTCATCACCGGCAGCAAAGGTGGGTCCGGGGGCTCTGGGGACACCGGGACATCCAGGGGCTCCAGGGATTTGGGGACACTGGGACATCCAGGGGCTCCAGAAATGGGGACACTGGGTCAGGGGGCTCTGGGGACACCGGGACATCCAGGGGCTCCAGGGGTTTGGGGACACCGGGACATCCAGGGGCTCCAGCAATGGGGATACCGGGTCTGGGGGCTCTGGGGACACCGGGACATCCAGGGGCTCCAGCTCTGGGGACACTAGCTCTGGAGGCTCTGGGGGCACTGGGTCTGGGGGCTCCAGGGGTTTGGGGACACCGGCTCTGGGGACACTGGGCCTGGGGGCTGCAGCTGTGGGGACACCGGCTCTGGGGACATTGGGTCAGGGGGCTCTACCTCTGGGGACACTGGCCCCGGGGGCTCCAGGGGTTTGGGGACACTGGGTCTGGGGGCTCTGGGGACACCAGGACATTCAGGGGCTCCAGCTCTGGGGACACTGGCCCCGGGGGCTCCAGGGGTTTGGGGACACTGGGTCTGGGGGCTCTGGGGACACCAGGACATTCAGGGGCTCCAGCTCTGGGGACACTGGCCCCGGGGGCTCCAGGGGTTTGGGGGCTCCAGCTCTGGGGGCTCTGGGGACACTGGGTTTGGGGCCTCCAGCAATGGGGACAGTGGGTCTGGGGTCTCCAGGGGTTTGGGGTTTATCCTTCTGCCCCAGCAGTTGTGGTCCCAAGGGCCAGACCCCAGCTCGTTTTCCACGGGGGGTTTCCTGGGAGCACCCCCTGCCCTGCGGCTCCCTGAGGGCGCTGTGCTCCCGCCGCAGACCTGCAGAACGTGAACATCACGCTGCGCATCCTGTTCCGGCCCGTGACGGCGCAGCTGCCGCGCATCTTCACCAGCATCGGCGAGGACTACGACGAGCGCGTGCTGCCCTCCATCACCACCGAGATCCTCAAGTCCGTGGTGGTGAGCGCGCCCCGGGCCCTGCTGGCACGGAGTGGGGAGTGCGCTGTGCCCTGCAATCCCGGGGTTCCAGCCTGGATTGGGGGGGAGGCAGCTGGGAGCTCGTCCAGCTCCAGCCCTGCCGTGGGCTCCAAACCTCCCTGGGAGGCGTTCCCTTTCCATGGGGAAATTCCTGCTGCTCTCCTCGCCGGTGCAGCCTGGGGCTGTGTCTGGTCACTGCCTGCTCCCAGCAGTGCCCATCCCGTTCCCAGCAGTGCCCATCCCGTTCCCAGCAGTGTCCATCCCGTTCCCAACAGTGCCCATCCCATTCCCACCTGTTCTCAGCAGTGTCCATGTCCTTCCCAGGTGTCCATCCCGTCCTGAGGTGTCCCTCCTATTCCATCCTATTCCATCCCATTCCCAGTGGTGTCTGTCCTGTTCCAGCCATTCCCAGCAGTGTCCATCCCGTTCCCAGAGGTGTCCATCCCATTCCATCCCATTCCCAGTGGCGTCCATCCTGTTCCAGCCATTCCCAGTGGTGTCCATCTTGTTCCCAGCAGTGTCCATCCCATTCCATCCTGCCCCATCCCATTCCCAGCAGTTTCCCTCCCGTTCCCAGTGGTTTCCTTCCTGTTCCCAGCAGCTTCCATCCCATTCCCAGCAGTGTCCAACCCATCCCACCCCGTTCCCAGCAGTTTCCACCCCGTTCCCAACAGTTTCCACCCCGTTCCCAGCAGTTTCCACCCTGTTCCATCCCGTTCCCAGCAGTTTCCATCCCATTCCCAGCAGTGTCCAACCCATCCCACCCCGTTCCCAGCAGTTTCCACCCTGCTCCCAGCAGTTCCCACCCCATCCCACCCCATTCCCAGCAGTTTCCACCCCGTTCCCAGCAGTTTCCATCCCGTTCCCAGCAGTTCCCACCCCATTCCATCCCATTCTCAGCAGTTCCCACCCCATTCCACCCCATTCCCAGCAGTTTCCACGCCATTCCATCCCATTCCCAGCAGTTTCCACCCCATCCCACCCCGTTTCCTCCCGTTTCCCCCGTTGCAGGCGCGCTTTGACGCGGGCGAGCTGATCACGCAGCGGGAGCTCGTGTCCCGGCAGGTCAGCGAGGACCTCACGGAGCGCGCGGCCACCTTCGGCCTCATCCTGGACGACGTGTCCCTGGTGAGCCCTCGGGGACCCCGGGGACAGGGGGGGGACCCTGGGGGGCCACAATGTGGGGACAGGACAGGAGGGGACCCCCGGGTGGGCACAGCGTGGCGGGATGGACGCGCGTGGCTGCGTTGGGAGGGACACCCCGGTCACAGCTCTGCTGTTGTCCCCGTGACCTTGGGCAGCCCTGGGCAGCCTCTGGGAGGCCTCAGCCCTCCCTGTGCAGGGGATTTGTCACCCCCCAGGAGCTGCTGAGGGGGATGGGTTGGGCTGCAGGGGCTTTGGGATTGGGGGCAGCTCCACAGGCAGCCCTGGAAGCAGCAGGAGGGAAAATCCCCGCTGGGACAGCAGGACATCCCCACTGGGACAGCAGAAAATTCCCACTGGGACAGCAGGACATCCCCACTGGGACAGCAGGACATCCCCACTGGGACAGCAGGACATCCCCACTGGGACAGCAGGACATTCCCTCTGGGACAGCAGGACGTCCCCACTGGGACAGCAGGACATCCCCACTGGGACAGCAGGACATCCCCACTGGGACAGCAGAAAATTCCCACTGGGACAGCAGGACATCCCCACTGGGACAGCAGGACATCCCCACTGGGACAGCAGGACATTCCCTCTGGGACAGCAGGACGTCCCCACTGGGACAGCAGAACATCCCCCCTGGGACAGCAGGACATCCCCACTGGGACAGCAGGACATCCCCACTGGGACAGCAGGACATCCCCACTGGGACAGCAGGACATCCCCACTGGGACAGCAGAAAATTCCCTCTGGGACAGCAGGACATCCCCACTGGGACAGCAGGACATCCCCCCTGGGACAGCAGGACATCCCCACTGGGACAGCAGGACATCCCCACTGGGACAGCAGGACATTCCCTCTGGGACAGCAGGACATCCCCACTGGGACAGCAGGACATCCCCCCTGGGACAGCAGGACATCCCCACTGGGACAGCAGGACATCCCCTCTGGTTCCTGCCCTGAGCCATCCAGGGAGGGAGCTCTGCCCCCGCAGCTCCCTCAGAAATGCAATGGATCCTGCTGGGAGCGCAGGAGGCCTCTGCAGGAGGGGACTTTGTTTCTGCCAAAGGGGAGCTTGGACACTTTGTTTCTGGAGCTTTCCCCTCCCTGGGTGCGTGTGGGATCCGGGTGGGATTTCCTGCAGGGATCCCGGTTTCTGTCACTGTCACAGCAGAGCTGCTGGCAGCTGTCCCTGCCGTGTCCTGCTGTCACTGTCACTGTCCCTGCCGTGTCACTGTGGCACTGTGGCACTGTCCCTGCCGTGTCACTGTGGCACTGTCCCTGCCGTGTCACTGTGTCACTGTAGCACTGTCCCTGCCGTGTCACTGTGGCACTGTGGCACTGTCCCTGCCGTGTCCCGGTGGCACTGTGGCACTGTCCCTACTGTGGCACTGTGGCACTGTCCCTGCCGTGTCTTGGTGTCACTGTGGCACTGTCCCTGCCGTGTCACTGTGGCACTGTGGCACTGTCCCTGCCGTGTCTTGGTGTCACTGTGGCACTGTCCCTGCCGTGACCCGGTGGCACTGTGTCACTGTGGCACTGTCCCTGCCGTGTCCTGCTGTCACTGTAGCACTGTCCCTGCCGTGTCACTGTGGCACTGTCCCTGCCGTGTCACTGTGTCACTGTGGCACTGTCCCTGCCGTGTCCTGCTGTCACTGTGGCACTGTCCCTGCCGTGTCACTGTGGCACTGTCCCTGCCGTGACCCGGTGGCACTGTGTCACTGTGGCACTGTCCCTGCTGTGTCCTGCTGTCACTGTGGCACTGTCCCTGCCGTGTCACTGTGGCACTGTCCCTGCTGTGTCCTGCTGTCACTGTGGCACTGTCCCTGCCGTGTCACTGTGGCACTGTCCCTGCTGTGTCCTGCTGTCACTGTGGCACTGTCCCTGCCGTGTCACTGTGGCACTGTCCCTGCCGTGTCCTGCTGTCACTGTGGCACTGTCCCTGCCGTGTCACTGTGGCACTGTCCCTGCCGTGTCCTGCTGTCACTGTGGCACTGTCCCTGCCGTGTCACTGTGTCACTGTGGCACTGTCCCTGCTGTGTCCTGGTGTCGCTGTGGCACTGTCCCTGCCGTGCCACTGTGTCACTGTAGCACTGTCCCTGCCGTGTCCTGCTGTCACTGTGGCACTGTCCCTGCTGTGTCCTGCTGTCACTGTGGCACTGTCCCTACTGTGTCACTGTGGCACTGTCCCTGCCGTGTCACTGTGTCACTGTGGCACTGTCCCTGCTGTGTCACTGTGGCACTGTCCCTGCCGTGTCACTGTGGCACTGTCCCTGCCGTGCCACCGTGTCACTGTGGCACTGTCCCTGCCGTGTCACTGTGTCACTGTGGCACTGTCCCTGCTGTGTCACTGTGGCACTGTCCCTGCCGTGTCACTGTGGCACTGTCCCTGCCGTGCCACCGTGTCACTGTGGCACTGTCCCTGCCGTGTCCCGGTGGCACTGTGGCACTGTCCCTGCCGTGTCCTGCTGTCACTGTGGCACTGTCCCTGCTGTGTCCCGGTGTCACTGTGGCACTGTCCCTGCCGTGACCCTCTCTGGTTTGTGTCCCCAGACCCACCTGACCTTTGGCAAGGAGTTCACGGAGGCGGTGGAGATGAAGCAGGTGGCGCAGCAGGAGGCAGAGCGGGCCAGGTTCATCGTGGAGAAGGTACCTGCTCCTCCAGGACATTGGGGTCACCTCTGCCGTCCCCTCCCCTCTCCAGGGCTTTTTCCTTGGATATCCTGCCCCAGCCTCCTTAGAGTGCTGACCAGAAATGTTTTTCCCCCAAAATCCAACACAAACCCAGCTGGAGAAGGCTCCTCCTTGCACCCCTCTATTGAAGTGAAGGGGAGAAGCGACCATCCGATTGATGCATCGAACTCCAATTTATTGATCAATCAGCCACTTTATATAACAGTGTTAATTAACCTCATGCATATTGCAAAATCTGAGCTCATGATAGGCTAGCAGAGAAAACTCTAAGCACTCCTTTTGTTTTACAATGCCTACAATTGTTTATTAAAAACAGAACCAACGTTCCCACTGTGATATGAGAGGTTCCCAAAACTTCCATGTCTGTTCCCAGGGAGCCAGCTTTTCCCAGACAGAGTGCTTTGCTTGTTATGGGAAGGCTGTCTGAGAACCTTCTTATTTATAAAATCAAGCCTGGGAACTGCTTTAGGAACTGCTTTACTTCTACCTTTGACTTTTCTCTCAATTGTATGCCTTCATGGCCTTTTTCTTTAAGCCATGCTTGAACTAAACTCTCCAACACCCCTCAGTGCTGATGGCAGCCGTGCTCGCTGTTTGCTCCTGGCTCATCCCTGCTTGGATCCACTCTGGATCATCTCTGGGGTCTCCAGCAGCGCAGTGGGGTCTTCATCTCTTGTGTCAGCTCAGCTTCCAGCTGACCGCAGGCTCTGGGTTTGGGGGCTGCCAACAGGGATCTGCGGGTGGGACGGAGAGGCTGAAAATTGCGTTGTGATCTTATTTCAAAAGTTCCGCACCTTCTCGGTGATTTCTCATGGGCAGCTCCTCACAGCACCGACTCCTCCTTCATCACAGCGCAGCCAACAAAGTCCAGCTCTCTCCTCAACCACGTAACCCGTTCTTTTGTAGCACTCTTCTTACTGCTGTAGCCTGTGAAGGGCCAGCCTGTTCCTGATCTTTGGTGATTAGCACAGCTGCAGCTCCTCAGGTGTGAGACCTTCTGCACTGCCTTTATTTCCTTACATTCTATCCCTGCACAGAAAATCACCAACATTCAGCTCGAAATTGCCTTTTTTCCCTTTTCCCACAGTAGGCAAACTGTGGGAAAGGTATTGGAATATGAATCCCAAGATTACCAGTTAGATGGTGCCTGGGCCAGTCTGACCCTCGCTGCTGGGCCAAAGGCAGCAGCTGTGGTGTGTCACCCCAGAGACACCTTTAGCTTGCTGGAGGTTGCAGCTGGGCACTGAACAAGTCCAGGCTTGGTAGGAACTCCGTTTACCTCAGGAGGAAGAGCTTCAGGCGATGGTGAAGAGGAAAAGGAGATGGATTCTGCTGGAGGGTTTATATCCAGAGGTTTATTCCATGGTTACGGAGGTCTGAACGTGAGCAACAGCTCTAACAGAATGCCGACTGCATGGTCTGATTCACCTTTTAAGCTCAGGGACAGGGGAAGGGGAGGGACAGCTGAGCACCAACCAGGTGGAAGGGGCAGGGTCTCAAGGGACGAGGGACACCCAGACAGGCCAATGACCCCTTGGGATAGGGGCATCTTTTGAACTTGATCAACCACACGACGCCTTGCTGGAATGTTGAGCCTGATTGACAGGACTCACTCAGCAAGGGGGGCGAGGGGGAAGAGGTACAGGCACACCTGGGAGGTGACCTGGAAGTCTAAAATGGGACATTACAGCACACCGCAACAAAACGGGTTATTTTTTATCCCACGGTTTAAAGCTACAGCCGAAGCCCTGTTACCTGCCCTGGCCGGGGCAGGGCGGCGCCGCTCCGTCCGTCAGTCTGTCTGTCTGTCCGTCCATCCATTGCTGCTTTTCCCCCGTTCTCCCCGCAGGCCGAGCAGCAGAAGAAGGCGGCGGTGATCTCCGCGGAGGGCGACTCCAAGGCCGCGGAGCTGATCGCCAACTCGCTGGCCACGGCGGGGGACGGGCTGATCGAGCTGCGCAAGCTGGAGGCGGCCGAGGACATCGCGTACCAGCTGTCGCGCTCGCGCAACATCACCTACCTGCCCTCGGGACAGTCGGTGCTGCTGCAGCTGCCCCAGTGAGCCCCGCCCGCCCGGCAAGCACAGGGGGAAGGAATCAGTGCGGTTTCCTCGCGGAGGAAACGGAAATTTGGAAATCGGAGGGATTTTTTGGGGGTTTGTGGTTTTTTTTTTTTTTTTTTTTTTTGGACGGGTAATCAAATAAAAGTGAACGCTCGCGACACCAGGCCTGCGGTTCCTGCCCTGCGCTGCCCTCAGGGAGTCTGAGGTTGGGAGTTCAGGAAGATTTGGGGATTGAGAAGGTGAGATTTGGGAATTGAGAAGGTGAGGTTTGGGAATTTAGAAAGTGAAATTTGGGAATTGAGAAGGTGAGATTTGGGGGTTGAGAAGGTGAGGTTTGGGAATGGAGAAGGTGAGGTTTGGGAATGGAGAAGGTGAGGTTTGGGAACTGAGAAGGTGAGATTTGGGGATTGAGAAGGTGAGGTTTGGGAATGGAGAAGGTGAGATTTGGGGATTGAGAAGGTGAGGTTTGGGAATGGAGAAGGTGAGATTTGGGGATTGAGAAGGTGAGGTTTGGGAATGGAGAAGGTGAGATTTGGGGATTGAGAAGGTGAGGTTTGGGAATGGAGAAGGTGAGGTTTGGGAATTTAGAAAGTGAGGTTTGGGAATTTAGAAAGTGAAATTTGGGAATTGAGAAGGTGAGATTTGGGGATTGAGAAGGTGAGGTTTGGGAATGGAGAAGGTGAGGTTTGGGGATTGAGAAGGTGAGGTTTGGGAATTTAGAAAGTGAGGTTTGGGAATTTAGAAAGTGAAATTTGGGAATTGAGAAGGTGAGATTTGGGGATTGAGAAGGTGAGGTTTGGGAATGGAGAAGGTGAGGTTTGGGGATTCAGAAAGAGAAATTTGGGGATTCAGAAAGAGATTTGGGAATTCAGAAAGTGAGATTTGGGGATTCAAAAAGATTTGGGAGTTCAGAAAGTGAGATTTGGGAATTCAGAAGGTGAGATTCGCAGATTCAGAAGGTGAGATTTGGGAATTGCCCAAACCTCTGCGGGCAGTTGGAGCAGCAGGAGCAGAGTTCTGCTGGGATGGAGCCCAGGTGAGTCCCTGGCCGTGGGCGCTGCACCCATCAGGGCTCAGAGCTGCCTCAGTGCCTTCAGGCTGGCTGGGACAGGGATGCTCAGGGCCCTCGGCCATGCCAGGCCTCCAGGTGTCACCTCAGAACCTGGGGACACTCAGCTCAGGGCCCTCGGCCATGCCAGGCCTCCAGGTGTCACCTGAGACACCTCAGCCCAGGGCGGGGGCCCTGTGGGGGTGACAGGAGCACAGATTCCCTCTGGGGCTGGGGCATCTCCTCTCCTTCCCCCCGAGCTGTCCCTGTGCCCCCCTGTGCCATCCCCGCTCAGGGAAGGGGAGCTGTGAGAGGGGGGGATTGTGTAACCAGCCCTCGATAAATGTCGCGGTCCCAAGGCTGGCACGCTGGGTCCTTGGTTTTCTTTGTGCTGCTGTCTCAGGAGAGGCGAGGGTGGGCCGTGGGGCTGGGCTGGGTCCTGGCAGAGAGAGGGAACGACCCTGGCACCTGCAGGGCCTGGGGCGTGAGTGTGGCTGGGTTTGTCATCAGGCGAGAGCACCTGGGGCAGCCTCTGGGTCTGCTGGGCACCGGGATGGGCACCTGGCCCTGCTGGTGCCACCTCAGGTGGGGCAGGGCCCTAACCCGGGATAATTCCTGCGCTGGAGGGAGATGGAATCATCCCCCAGGTGAGACAGGGACCAAACCCGGGATAATTCCTGATCTAGAGCGGGTTGGAATCATCCCCCAGGTGAGACAGGGACCAAACCCGGGATAATTCCTGATCTAGAGCGGGTTGGAATCATCACCCAGGTGAGACAGGGACCAAACCCGGGATAATTCCTGATCTAGAGCGGGTTGGAATCATCACCCAGGTGAGACAGGGACCAAACCCGGGATAATTCCTGCCCTGGAGGGAGATGGAATCACCCCCCAAGTGGGGCAGGGACCAAACCCGGGATAATTCCTGCCCCGGAGGGGCTGGCAGCTTGGGGAGAGCAGGAGATGGGGAGGAGTTTCCCCACCTTTGTGATGTTTGTACCTGAGGGGATCCAGCAGAAAATGTCCTGGGAAAAACAGAGCAGGAATAGTGTGGAAAAGAGCAGGAATAGTGTGGGAAAGAGCAGGAATAATGTGGAAAATAGCAGGAATAGTGTGGGAATGAGCAGGAATTATGTGGGAAAGAGCAGGAATCACGTGGGAATGAGCAGGAATCATATGGAAAAGAGCAGGAATAAGGTGGGAATGAGCAGGACTCGCGTCCCAGGTCAGGCTGGGAGATGGGCAGCCACCCTCAGGGCCAAGTTTTCATTTAATGATTGCTCCAGCACGGACTTTAGAACTTCCCTTGTCAGGAATCTGTTCTGTGCTTAACTTATAAAGGCAAAAAAAAAAAGCTCAAAGCCGAGTCTGGCCAGAGGGGAATTTAATTTTTGGTGGTTTTTGTGCAGGGGCTGCTGGCTCTGATGGTGCAGTGATGAGAAGGAACCGCCCCAGCACCAGGAGATGCTGCTGGGTGTGAGCTCTGCTGCCTGCAGGCAATTCATCTTTAATTGTGCTTCTACACCGGGAAAGGGAACAGGAATTTCCTCTGCAGCGACACAGAGGCCTCAAAGCCTCCGTGGCGGCACCCAGCAGGAAAATCCCTTTGTTCCCCTTCTGCTTCCCCTGCCGCTGCTCCAGGGCACCCTGCATCGCAGCGACCTGAGGAGGTCGCTGGGGGTGAGAGAGACGAGAATCTTGTTTCTTGATCAGAGGGCTGGATTTATTGACATTTGATATATAACACGTTGTTACTATACTAAATAGAATAAAGAGAGAAGTTACAGATGCTTGCTAAGCTAAGAATAGAAAGAAAGAATCTCAAAACAAGAGAATTCTCTGGTTTTGTGTTCTAGAGAGCTTGCCCTGTGATTTGCTCTAATATTGTGCGCATGAAACACGAACCAATCGCAGGTGCATCCTATTGCATCCGACAGCAGCTGATAACAATTGTTCACGTTCTCTTTCTGGGGCCCTTGCTTCCCAGAAAACGAACAAGTCTCAAAAAAAGATTTCTATGAAAAAATGTCTGCAACAATCCCGAGCAGGTCTGGAGATAAACCTGGGGCTGCACGGCTGGGGCTGCACGGCACCATCTGTGCCTCAGTTTCCCTTTCCAGGATCCTTGAGCAGCTCCGAGGGCTCTGCTCCTTTGGGGACGGAGAAATTGTCCCAAAGGTGTCGGGTCCAGGCTGCGCCCAAGGCAGAACCGGGAGCTTTGGAGGCCTCACAAACCACCACAGGCGCGGGGTGAAGGGCCAGGGCTCATCCAGGAGGAGTTTTTCTGAGAATTCCTCTCAGCAGGAATGGGGATGAGGCAAATCCAGGGCTGCTCCAGGAGGTTTCCCAAGGATCCTCCTGTCAGATTTGTTCATTTCTGAGTGAGCACATCTGTTCTTCTGTGAGTGAGATTTGTTCATTTCTGAGTGAGATTTGTTCATTTCTGAATGAGATTTGTTCATTTCAGTGAATGAGATTTGTTCATTTCTGAATGAGATTTGTTCATTTCAGTGAATGAGATTTGTTCATTTCTGAATGAGATTTGTTCATTTCAGTGAATGAGATTTGTTCATTTCTGAGTGAGATCCGTGTCCCTGAGAGTGAAGGTCTGTTCTTCTCTGAGTGAAGGGATCTGTTCTTCTCCAAGTGAGATTTGTTCTCCAAGTGAGATTTGTTCATTTCTGAGTGAGATCTGTTCGTTTCTGAGTGAGATTTGTTCATTTCTGAGTGAGATCTGTTCATTTCTGAGTGAGATCTGTTCATTTCTGAGTGAGATCTGCTCATTTCAGTGAATGAGATCTGTTCATTTCTGAGTGAATGAGATTTGTTCATTTCTGAGTGAGATTTGTTCATTTCTGAATGAGATTTGTTCATTTCAGTGAATGAGATTTGTTCATTTCTGAGTGAGATCCGTGCCCCTGAGAGTGAAGATCTGTTCCCTGAGTGAAGGGATCTGTTCTTCTCCAAGTGAGATCTGTTCATTTCTGAATGAGATTTGTTCATTTCAGTGAATGAGATCTGTTCATTTCTGAGTGAGTGAGATTCGTTCATTTCTGAGTGAGGGAATCTGTGCCCCTGAGTGGATTTGTGCCCCTCAGGTAAGTGAGATTTGTTCATTTCTGAGTGAATGAGATCTGTTCATTTCTGAGTGAGATCTGTTCATTTCTGAATGAGATCTGTTCATTTCCGAGTGAGATCTGTTCATTTCTCAGTGAGATCTGTTCATTTCCGAGTGAGGGGATCTGTTCATTTCTCAGTGAGATCTGTTCATTTCTCAGTGAGATCTGTTCATTTCCGAGTGAGATCTGTTCATTTCTCAGTGAGATCTGTTCATTTCTCAGTGAGATCTGTTCACTTCTCAGTGAGATCTGCCCATTTCTCAGTGAGGGGATCTGTGCCCCTGAGTCAGATCTGCTCCCTCTGAGGGGATTTGTGCCCCTCCTGGGAGGGGATCTGTTCCTCCCTGGGTGATCCCCTCTCCCCACAGCCTGACCCCAGCAGAGCCCCCTGCACCCCAGCCATGCCCCGGATCTGCTCCCTCAGCAGCCCCAGGGGTGGGGGCAGCGCGTTCTGCTGCGTCTGCAGCCCCGGGCCCAGCACGTTCTCCCGCCTCTGCTGCGCTTTGCCCAGCCTGACAGGCCCTGAGCTGCTTAGACAAAAACAAAATCTGCATTGTGGGGGAGGCCAATGCCACCCACAGCTGAGGGGCTGCAGGGATCGGGAGGAAATGGAGGTTTGTGTCACCTTTACCTGGCACAGGAGGGGTTTTTAGCTCTGGAGAGAAGGGGAAAGGCAGGAGAGAAGGACCCGAGGAAATGGGGCTGGCCAGGGCCTGTGGCTGTGGGGCAGGTGCTGTTTGAGCAGAGCTGCAGGGGCTGGGTTGGTTCCCCTCTCACTCAGGGATGGATGGGAAGATGAGTTCCTTGTTTTCCTCATGCCAGGAGCTCCAGGATATTTGTACCCGCCGCCCT